CAAAATGTGGAAAATCTTTGGAAATGATTTGCTAATTTTTAAGGTTACTCAGTTTTCTTTTTCAAAATGATTAATTTATTTTGTTGTTTTGTCCAGAATCGGAGAAATTTTTTATATATTTTTTTTGGTCTAAAAACAAATACAAATATTTTCTTTTTTTAAACAATTCACTGAATATGTGAATTGACAAATAAACGGGAAAAGTGTAAAAAATGTGGAAAATCTTTGGAAATTATCTGCTTATTTTAATGGTTACAAACAGCTTAAAAATAATGTAGTAAACAGACCCAACTTTTTTCAACTCGTCCCTTTTGAACCATAATTATTTTCCCACCTCGCTGTCAATACAGCGTTGTTAATCCATGTCCATTCATTTGTCCCCAAATGACTTAGACCAATCCAATAGTGCAAATTCCCTTTCATACTCAGATACATCTGCAGAGATGAGATATCGTTGAAAAGCATATGAATACATTAATATGCGAATCACTTCTATGAGTTTTCATTTCACCGTATTTACTGATTTACTGACCTGCACACGTTCATTAGTAATGACAGCAAGATCTCCTCCCTTCCTCTGGCATTCCTCCCTGCTCTGCTGCCAGGTGAGGCGGTTTTGAGACAGGAAGTAACAAGTATTCTCGAACCTCAGCCAGCCCTTGCCACAATCACTGCACAGACGCTCTGCACACACATTTAGGTGGGGAAGCAAGAAAACACTGAAGTAAAGTAAAAATACGTTTTATATAGAAAAAAAGTCAAACATACATAAAACCTAGTTTAGATAACTGAATGCTGTTCACAAACTCACGAGGCAGTTGGTAAAGCTCTTGGCATCTCTCCAAGCTGCATTTCTGTTCCGATAGAGACCTGGTAGTCTGCTCTACCTCCTGACATGGCGGCGTCCCAGTCACTGTTCAGAATATAATGTAACAATGTATCCTCTATTAACCAGTTACCACGGCAATCACCATTTCCACCAAAATACCATAGTTACAGCAGTTATTTTAGTACTGTGGATCCAAAATAAAGTAACATGGAGATCTGGAAACAAGTTCTTACAAGAATCTTACTCTCATTTTGTGTAATTTTCTTTTTTGATCACATTTTCCTGAAGGTAAACGCTATATTGTTTTTTGTACTAATTTGAACCCTCCTATTGTTCAAAAAACTGCACCCACTTGTGACCCTTCCTTGAAAACCATTAAAAATGTATTGATTCTTGATTATGCTCAAGTACAGTTGGTCTAAAGACTGTTTTTATGTCTTTTTATCTGGTCTCAAAGTATATTATGATTAGGTGTTTTTAATTCGATAATTATGGAATAACAATTAAATAAATAAAACAAGAGAGAGAAGTGTTAAAAAAAATTACAAGTCTGGCAAAAAATGTGACTCTTTTCCTGGCTCATTTCATTTACTTTTGGCCGTTCATAATGTATTATATAGCAGCTTCTGTATTATTCTGCTGTTAGTCTATGAACAAGTTTATGAACTTGCAGCAGTATGTGTATGAAGAAAATTACATCCATTTATTGTACCCTATCATGGAGAACAGTATGTGTGAAGGGTTAAACCCTATGTTATTTTAAATGTAAAATATTTTTCATTCAAATGTAATCCTAATTTACAAATAAATACATACATAAAAAATACTGTTGCATAACATACTGAAAGGCCAAAGGCCACAAGTGGTTCTTCGGTAGTCAAACCCGGGAAAGACCATATAGACCATGCCTTTAATAGTAGCCTATTTTTTTTTTTTTTTTTCATTTATTATTATTATTAAAAACGTTAGCTTATATTTCGCTTGTTTAGATATTGTTGACAAAGCCTGTTTCCAATATCAAAAACGATGTGGTATTTATAGCGTATTTTGACCCCCCCAAATAAAGACAATAAAAGGGCTAAATGAATACATTTTATAGGTTCCAAGCTGTACATGTAAAAGACGGTCGTACTTACACTTCATAAACAGTACAAGGACCACGATCAGCAACAGGACGCAGATGACAAAAAGAACCAGCGAAACGATGCGGTAAACACGGAGTTTCCGGCGAATATCTAGCGATGTATCTGGAGAAAAATATGATACATTTGTCGTTACATGGACCGTCAAATAACGGAAGTCAAGAGATGTGCAGTCGCAACATTCATCACCTGAATCCGGCTGCAGCGGTTTCGGTTCAGACTTGCCTTCTGTGTACTTGCCGAAATTGCAGAGTTTTACGTACATGTTTCTGCGAATGCAAAACCGGCTCAGTTCGACGAAGGCCAGGGAATAATCTGCAGGCGTTTTTATGTGCGCACTAATACACTTCAGGGGGTTTCGACCGCGCGCAGGGGCTTTGACGACGACGCTCCGTAACACAATACCAGCTCTGTGTCCTCGCGTGCCCTTCTGAAACCTTCAAGTGCTCTCTGGACAAAATAAGATACCCGCTGTCCTCGAGAGAACAAAATATGCAGCTGTGTCCCAGATATGCTTTTTACTATGTGAGCTAAGGTCATACAAAAGACTGTTCAAATGACAGAGCAATCTATAATTTATGCGGGCCTTGGTAACATGTTTCAAACGATCGAGAACCCACTTGGGTTATAATTTAATGGATAGAAATGCTGTTATAAAAGAGTAAGCTGTTTAATGTTAACTATAACTAAGCACAACCATAACACCTCACAATGTTAGTCACTTTAAAAGTAACGAATATGCCGCTGTAAAAACCTAATTGACACAGTTGACTGGCAATGGCAATTAACATGGCAATGGTGAAATATGGTGATGGAAAAAAATGAGATGGGAGGAAAAATGACAGCCTATAATTATTTAAAATGTATAATGCTTTTGCATTCTCCCTAAATAGATTGCATTCGCTTGCAAAGGTTTTGCATTGCCCTTTGCCCTCGCTCTCAAAAGCGCTGAGTTCCTTCAAAGGTTTTTCGAGCAAACACAACAATTTTAAGAGGAACTTCACACAAAAGTTTGTGAAGGAAAGAGGGAATGCAGAGTTTCTTTTGCAAGCAAATGCAAAGATTCTTGATTCCACTGGGGAAAAAAAGGATTCCTGGAAGTCCCTGCATGATTCTAACTAACATGATTTATAACATGTATTTGTGTTTCATTTGACATTTTTATGTGCTAATATATTGTTAGTTTACATTTTTTACATTCTATTATAATGTCACCTAAATGCCACTTGTGTGCATGTAGCATTATCATAAAATCATAATTTGGTTCTCGTAAGCACAGCTATATTTTTTTTTTTACATTTTTTTAAATTTAACCAGAATTTTTACAGTATAGGCCATTTACATGCATCTTTTACTTCTTTTATCCTTTTTATCTTGTGATCAGAAATGTTAATTTTGTTTGATATTTTGCTTTAACTCACTGACCACTGCATCAGTTTTTTTTCTCTCCATCTGTTTTTGTTCCTCTTTCTGTCCATTTTCACTTGTCCTGTTTTAGACTATACAGCTGGATCCTATATCACACAGTTTTACATCACACAATGAATATGTACATGAATGCATGTAAAAAAATATATATTTAAAAATTATATATACACTCTTAAAAATAAAGGTTCTTCATTTGGCATCGATGGTTCCATGAAGAACCTTTAAAATGTATAGTAGTAGTAGTAGTAGTAGTAGTAGTAGTAAAATCCTTTCCAATGCACAAAAGGTTCTTTATGGAAAAAGTGTCTTTAAATTATTAAAATATTCTTTACACTAAGAAAAAAAGTGGTTCTTTTAAGATCTGTTTATTAATAGGTGCTTTAGGCAACCCAAAATAGTTCTCCTATGGCATCACTGCGAAAACACCATTTTGAAAGCATTATTTCGATAAAGTATGTGAATACTCCTAAGTCTTTTTCATAATTTAAGCTTGTGCACAAAACAAACTCCTGGCATTTGTATCATTAAATGAGTATTTGTATTCACTTTATTAGCTATTTATTGGCCTGAAATGTGCATTACTATAAGAAAATGAGTTTGTGTTACCGTTATTGACTGTATAAGAGCAAGTTGAAGAGGGCACACCATATTCATGTTCAGATGGACTGGTGAGAGTGGAGTAAATATTCCCTTCTTCTACCTTCTCTGCTGCAAAGTCATTCGGAGAAAGTGCAGTTGAAAAGAAGCAGAGTTAAATATGAAAAGAAAACCGTATTGACATGTATATAATGACTGAATACTGAAATTTTCTGCTCACATACTGCAACCTCTCCCAAAGTGAAGGGAGGAGTCCTGTTTTAAAAGAAATAATAGCTTGTTTAAGCTTATAAATGAATGATTTTATTAAACATTTTACCTTTCGTCTCCTTCTTCGGATCTTCTTTCTCCTTATCCTCCTCAACCGTTGTAATCTCCTCCAACTCCACTTCTACCTCTTTCTTGCTCTCCATTGTTGTTTTTTCTGTCTGTATAATTCCCTTGAGTTTCGTTTTTTCGGGCTAACTTGTCAGAGGTCCCAGTAGGTGCAAACTCTTTAGCAAAACTGATTTAATTTACTATTGTCTAAACAACTGTTTAGAGAAAAAATGACACGGTAACCGAAAAGCTTGCCACTTGTAAATATGCTGACCTGATGCTTGTTCACATCAGGATAATTCTGAGCATCACACATTGTTCAAAAGTTGTTTTCCCGCAACTTCCTCATTACAGTCCGGCTCGTCGCCACGATATATCCTTCACTTCTCTCTTAATCATACCGTCAGAACGAATTAAACCACTAGTCATGTCTTATCCTAAAGGAAAAGAAATTCAAATATATTAAACACTGTTTATATGAGTCACTAGTGTCTCTGTGGTTAAGGGTTAAATGTTTAAATATTATTATAAAAAAATGCTGAATAGTATAAATAATGGTATGAATTTTAATATAAATAAATAGTATGAATATTAACTGAACCTTATTTGTACTAAAATGCTGTAAACATTATGTACAAACTTATACACAAGCTTAAACATTTTAAATATTTTTATTATATGCACAAAGTTATTGAAAATACTTTACAAAAAAAAAGAAAGAAAAACAAGAACAAAAACCTATTTGCATTAAATACAAATGATGCGCTCCTGGGAGAGAAAGATGAAATTAAAACTTGCTTACTTTACTACTTTTTTTTAAATGTATCTCTATTTTTGTTTTTGACCTTCCATTTTCTCTTTAGTGTCCCAATGCTTTAATAATCTGTTTAATGCATCACATTGTAGTTTCCCCCGAATACTGATAAATACAAACAGCACCCTTTAGTCCCCATTATTGAACAATGCCCTCTTTAGGTACAATGTATTGAACATGGGATAATAATGCGTCATCTTTCTCCATCTCTTCTCTCCAGTCCTTTCGTCCTCCGTCTCAGGCACCGTAAACACTCTCATTACTGTATGTCATGTACAGGAACAGGTCTTCCTCATGGTGTTCCTGAAAACAGAGACAGAGGTGATACATTTAGATCAAATGATTCAGTAGTACTATTTTTCATTTCACTTTATAATTAAAAAGTTAAAACGGTTTATATACCGTTCAAAAGTTTGTGGTCAGACTCGGTACAATTTTTCTAGAAAGAACTCAGCAAAGACACATTCAATTGATCAAAAGGGACAGTAAAGACCTTTATAGTGTTACCAAAAAAAAAAAGAAGAATTCAAATGAACTGCTGTTTTGAACATGAAAGAATACTGGAAAATGTATCACGGTTTCCACAAAAATATTAAGCAGCACAACCATTTTCAACATTGAGAATAATAAGAAATGTCTTGAGCAGCAAATCTATTAGAATAATTTGAAGGATCATGTGACACTGAAGACGCGTAGGATAATATACATTTTAAAGGGGTTCTATTATGCTTTTCCACTTTTTCAACTTTAGTTAGTCTGTAATGTTGCTGTTTGAGCATAAAAAAGATCTGCAAAGTTACAAAGCTCAA